GATTTCTATCAAGACAATTGACAAAAGCTAATGATTTTTTTCTTGGGTTCTAGAGAGAGAAACGCAGGTTGAAGAATAGTTTCATTATATGGAATCATGGTTCAACAAGCAAATCCAAGGACTTATGATTAATGGACAAATGTCAGCTGGAAGAAAGTCTCTAGTAGCATGCCATAGATCTCTGTCCTTGACTCTGTTTGGTATTTTTTATATCAACAATCATAGAAGGCATACTAGTCAAATGTTCAGATGACATAAAACTGAGGTGATAGCTAGAAACAAATGATGGGATTAAGATTCCAAATGATTTCATCTGGCTGCAACAATGGACTGGAATCTAATAAAGATGAAATGTAATAGAGATAAAGGCCAAGTCTTATGTTTACATCTAGACAATCAACTGTACAGATATGGTCAAGGATTAATAGCACTTTCTGTGGAAATGGTGTAAGTTTTTAGTTGATCCTAACTGACTCTTATTATGAGCCTATTAATAATGGAATGTAGCTGTGAAAAAAAAACAGCCAAAAATTGATGCAATCTTAGGGTACATTAATAAAAGTATTATGTCCAAAAAAACAAAAGGGAATATACTGCCATAATCTGCACCAGTCACAATGCATATGGAGTACTCTCTTCAGTTCTGTTCATCAGATTTTAGGACAAGATGGAGCTAGGCTGAGGAAGACAACCAGGGTATTATTGATATAATGCCTTATGAGGAACTGAGAATGTTTAGCTGGAAAGGAGAAGAATAAATGGTAAGGAAAGGGAGAGAGACACATAAGAGCCATCTTCAAATATTTGAAGGAGAAAACCAAGAATTGAAGACCTGCTATGTGGAGGAGAAAGAAGACTTAATTTCTATGTTTCAGAGGTCACGGTCATGACCAATATTTGGCCATTTACTTGAGGGATGCAATTTTCATTTCAGTTCTAAGTGGTAAGCTCCCCATCACTTGGAATGTTCAAGCCAACTTGTGGAATTTTATAGAAGATTTTTTTTTCTTTGGATGGATGGTTTTGGGACTAGATGACAAGATTCTATGATTTAAAGCATCTTTACTTCATGTGTTTTCTAAGGTTGCATTTTTTATTCTCTTTTCTTCCTGTGTGCACCTCTAAAGGGACTAAACCTGAGATCCTAGATACTTCCTTTTCCTTACTCCCTGTCATGAGTCCTGCTGAACATTTGGAGTGAAAGTCTGCAGGAAAATGATGCTCAGGCCAGGCTTTTTTTCCTTAATTTTTTTAATTGACGTCTCTTGTTTTTATATCATATTCTTTTCTGGATATATCTCTTTTCTCTCTCTTCTTTTTTGTAAGCCATCCCATGCAACAAAGATTGGAAAAGATTTTTTCCCTAAAAATAGTGCTACAAAACTAATCAACACCAAGAAGCAGCTAAGTGGCAAAGTAGATAGAGCACTAGACTTGGAGTCAGGAAGACTTGAGTTCAAGTCTGCCTTCAGATACTTAATAGTTGTGTGACCTTGGGCAAGCCACTTAACTCCTATCTGCCTCAGTTTCCTCACTATAAAATGGGAATAATAATAATAGCACCTTCTACCAGGATTTTTGTGTGGATTGAATGAGATAATATTTGTAAAACATTTAATACAATGCCCGGCACATAGTAGGTACTTATTCCCTCCTTCTCTCCCCAACTCTGTTTGCCATGAAAGCAGGGAAAGATATTTTCTTTTTTTAAGTGCTAATGTTGGTCATTATGATGACACAATGTTGAGTTTTAGTTTTTTATTCTTTTTATTTTTGTTGTTTTAGTCATTGTGTATATTGTTTTACCATAACTGCTTGCTTCATTCTGCATCATTTTATGTCTTCCCATGCGTTTCTAAATGCTTGTTGATTATATATTCTTATGCTGCAATAATATACACATATTACACAATTTGTTTAGCTATTTATTAAATGGTGGCTATCTACTTTGTTTCCAATGTTTTGCTGGACCACAAAAGTTGCAGTGATGACATTTTCTTTTTTTGGACTGGGTCTGTGATTTTGTTGGTTTAGAGCATCTTTGATAAGTAAACTTTCTGCCAGTGAAGATTATCAGCTGCACTGCAGCTTAAAATCTCAGAGAAGAAGTTGCAGTGAACATCTTGGTATCTTTTGGACTTTTTGTTTTCTGTCTTTGACCTCCTTGAAATATATGTCAAACAATTGTCTCGAGGGTATAGAAAATTTAGTCACTTCAAAAAATTGCTTTCTAGTATGTGTGGACCTATTTACGACTCCATCAAGAGTGTAATATCTTGTTGCTTTGTTCCTTCAACCTTTCCAACATTGACAGTTTCCATCTTTTATTAGCCTGGCCAATTTTCTGGGTGTTAGGGGAAACCTGAATATTGTTTTGATTTGGATTTCTTTTATTATTAGTCATTTGGAACAATTTCACATGGTTGTTTAGAACAGAAGTGTCTGAAAAACTCCTGAGTGGGTCTGAACCAGATTTAAATGTAATTGGGAACTATTTAACAAAAATACGTAAAAATACAATACAGCATAGATGATATTAATTTACTAAGTCAGCATTTGGCCCATAAGGAACTATTTCAATTTGATTTTTTATACCAGTGGTTTAGAATATTACAGATTTATTTATTTTCACTTAAAAATTTTTTTACATGTGTAATCATGCAAAACACATTTCCATATTAGTCATGTTGTGAAAGAAGACAGACCAAAAGGAAAAAAAAAGACCCATAAAAATATAAATTGAAAAACAGTATGCTTTGATCTGCATTCAGACTTCAGTTCTTTCTCTAGACGTGGATAGCATTTTTCAGAAGATTATTGATTTGGAAAGGACTTTAGGAGCCATTGAGTCTGTTCCCCCCCCCCATATTGTGTGGATGAGGAAACTGAGGCATAGAGTGGTTAAATGACTTGTTTAGAGCCATGTAACAAGTAAGTATCTATGGCAGGATTTAAACTCAGGTCCTCTAAGTCCAGTGCCGTGTTTGCTGTTCTTTTGAAAACTATTTGCCCATTCATATCTTTTGACAACATATCCATTGGAGAATGAGCCAGGCCTCTTTCAGCATCAAGTTCACTTTGAAATGTTAGGTAGACTTAAAGTCTCTTTGGTTCTGAACTCCCAATGCTTGCTTTTATAATGTTTGGTTAAAAGAGACATCTTTGACATTGACTAAAAAGAGATACTATGGCTTAGTAGGATTCTGGGTTCTTGAGCCAGAAGGCTATTCACCAGCTGCTTCTCGTCCTCCCAGGGATTCTATTGTCTACCAGGTTTAGAATTTGAAGCTTCAAGCGGAGTTGAAAGAACTTTGTAGTCCACCCCTTTGTAGGAGTAACTTCTGTAATATCTGTGATAGGTGGTTTGCTAACCTTCCCCCTATAGATAGCGTCCTCCCAACTACCTTGTATGTATTTTGTATTTAGTCTGTATATATTCACTATGTATTTATCCTTCTAGTTGTTCGTGATGCCTCCTCCAATAGAATGTAAGCTGTTCGAATGGTGATTATTTCATTTGTGCATTTGGCACAATATTTGGTACATTTGCTGTTGTTCAGTTGTGTCTAACTCTACATCACCCCATGGACCGTTTTCTTGGTGAAGATACGAGAGTGGTTTGCCATTTCCTTCACCAGTGCGTCCCCATCTTCCAGATGAGAAACTGATGAAGGGTTAAGTGACTTGCCCAGGGTCACACAGGTAGTAAGTGTTTGAGGCTAGATTTGAACTCAGATCTTTCTGACTCCATGCCCAGTGCTCTATCCACTACAGCACCTAGATGGCTATGTTTAGTACATAGGAACTTAATAGGTGTATGTTGGTTGATGGATTACTGGACTTTTGCTGGAACACTTTCAGTGACAGGTAACTCACTACCTAACATTTGACTAGGTACTTCAAAGATTATTTCAGAAGGAGTTAAAAGACCTGGACACTAGCTCTGCTTCTGCCACTAGTTGTATGACCCTAAGGAAGTAGCAAAATTTCTCTAGGCCTCAATTTCCTCCTCATAAAAGGTGGGGGATGAAATTTAATAGCTACAGAAGTGACTTGAAAATATAAAATATGATGCAAATGTCAAGTATGATGATGGTGATATGCTTATCAATAATATAAATAATCTGTGAGTTAGTTATAGCAATGCCCACAGCCAGGATTAAGCTTGAGAGAAGATCACAGCTATTGGGCATAATACCCTTAGAAACTCCCCTCCTAACCTGTCTCCAATACGTCCAAGTGTTTTGTTTTTCTAAGTAAAGCTGTCAGGCCCCCTGTCTTTCATTTTCCATCTTCTGACTTCTCTGTTCAGTGCAAGAGGGGCTTTTAGAGCCAGTGGCTGGGAGTATAACTGGCACATATATCGAATCTCCTTAGTCTGGGCTGTTAAGTAAGTTTAATTAATTTACTAAGTTAATGTTCCACTCCTAGCAACAGAGACTCATTGCCATCAGCTGGGGAGAGGGAATTGAAAGCCTAAATGAGCTCATTTTTTCACAGTTGGAATTAGGGACCAGTTAGCCAGTTGTGTGGGTTTTCCAATTTCTCCCTCTGCCCTGGGGGGGATAAAGGCTATTCACTCCCCCAGTGCTAAGTGTGAGTAAGAGCAGGAAGAGAGAAGGGGGAAAGAGAAAAATCTCTCCCCAGTGTTTGTTTCCATCTTCAAAACAGGCTGTGTCATCCCTGCTTTGCTTGTTGGTTTGGAGTGGGAGAAAGATGCTTTTTTTTTCTTTTTGCTAATGTTTCTAATAGATTTGGAAAAGAGCAAAGCCTTACTGAAAGATATTTACCGCATATATTTTCATTGCAGGGGTTGCAGATAAAGGGAAAACAAATAAACAATAAAAGAATGGAAACAAAATTACAGAAATTTGCAAAATTTGACAAATGGTGGCCTGTAGTTGCCACAAGCTAATGGCTTGCAATGATTAATAAGAGTAAAAATAATTGCATTTCATTAAGATTGATGACACCCCATTTAACCTCCCCTCTCGTTTCAGCCCTAAAGTGGAAAGAGATGAAGTTCTCATCTATAATAGCTCCTGTAACATTACCATGGAAACTGAGGCAGAGATGGAGTGTGAGGCACCTAATCAGCCAATTACCGCCAAGATTACTGAGATACGGAAAAACTGGGGCCAGAACACTCAGGTATAATCAAATCTTTTTTACAGACTGATCCAAACAGCTCAAAATTAAATTTGTAATATTGTGTACATTAAAAAAACAATTTAGTCTGAATGGTAGCAATATATAATATTAAATGCTTTCAAACTTTGACTTGTGGTTCTAATGCAAAACATCTGCATTCATGGTTAACTATGGTTAATCATATATTTTTTCAAATATAAATGAGGGCTGCCTGGACTCTTGTAGAAAATAAAAGTCTATACAGATAATCTTTATGGCATTTGTCCCACTTTCTGGGTGGATATTTTAAAATGAACTCTTTATGTCCCCTTCCAGCCCCACTCTCCAATAAATGTCAAATGATTTGGCCAGTCCCTTTGTGCTTGGAAGGATTCCAAATCATTTAAGCTATCCTCAGTATGACAGCAGAGCAGCCACTTACTGTTGGGCATATGTCATCTGGTACATCTCTGCTCTGTAGGGAGCAGATTAGAAGCTTGGGCCTAACAGATCATCATAGTGAAACTAGAACTGAAAAGAACCCTACGATCATCTGACCACAACCCCCTTTCTCCCAATCCTACCCCCGTCTCAGCTTAGGAATATTAGGACCCTCTGAACCAGCCTCTCTGAATGGTTGTAGAATGACTTTAGTCTCAGAGACTCCCAGTGAGTCAGCTTTCCCAACTTCTCTAAGGAATTCTCTGGAGTTGAAACCAGACAATATAATTGGTTTTAGGAGGATGATCCTTCAATATCTCTTTTGGCCCCCTCTTTCTCTCATAGTCCAGTTCTTATTTGAAAACGGAAAAGGACGACTCCTCCTCCATCTGAATTTCTGGCTGGCATTAAAAACTAAGGTAGATAAAAACCAGACTCTTCATTTCCCCCCACCAAGCAGTCTCCCCATCTATTTTTTTTTACTCATAAAAGAGAAATCAGTCTCTATTCTACCTCCAAGTGTGGTACCTTGATGTTATATTAGACCTTGCCCTTCATATCAAGTAACTGCTAAATCCTGTCACTTTGTTTAGCATAATATTCCTTGCCACACTCCAAATGTGTCCTACTCACTCAGTCAATTCAATTCAATTAACATTTTGAAAGTTACAACTATGTGCAAGCCATAGTGCACAGTAGGGATGCCAAAGGCAAAAATGAAAAGGAGACTGACCTTGCCCTCAAGGAGCTTACATTCTACTGCTTTTTTTTGTCTTCATAATGTGACTTATCTTATTTGAAGTGAATACCCAGACCATCTAATAAACCCATCAGGACACTGTCCTATTAACAGACATATACTCCAATTGCATCCTTCCTCTTTAATCTGTTTTGAGCATTACTTTCATTCATTCATTTATTTATTTTTTCATTCATTGGCTTATTTATTTTGCTTCCTGCTTTAACCACAGATCCATCCCACCATAGCAGCCAGATTCCTAATTTAGGATTTCAAAGACTTAAATCAATATTTTCCACACTGCTTTTACCTTCCTCATTTTTTATAATAACTAACTCTTGATCATTTGTACTCATGGAGGGAATTCAGTTCACACTAAGTACTGAAGCCATACTATAACGGAAGACCTGTGAAGTTGGGCAGTTTTTCCAGTTTGGCTCCTGTTCACCTCTTCCCTATAACCTGTCCTGTGCTAGGATTGGACAGCTCCTCCCTCAGATTGATGCGATACACTTGTCTAAAGGAGATTCAGCGTTTGCTAAGCACAACTCCTCCTTTCTTTTTCTGGGATAGGAAAGTGGCTAAATGCTTGGCTTTCAAAGGACTTCCCTACAGAAATTTAATTTGCATAAAAAGCAGATAAGCAGATAAATAAGGACAGTACTTGCTAACTGTTAGTATTTTGTTGATCAGTTTCTTCAGTCATATCCAACTCTTTGTGACCTCATTCTGGGGTTTTCTTGGTAAAGATATTGGAATGGTTTGCTATTTCCTTCTCCAGCTCATTTTACAGATGAGGAAATGAAACCAAAGAGGGTTAAGAGACTTGCCCAGGGTCACACAGCTAGCAAGTGTCTGTGACCAGATTTGAACTCAGGAAGATAATTCTTTCTGACTCCAGGTCTGACATTCTATTCAGTGTACCACCACGTTGACCTGTAGCACCACAGGAAAGTCTTTTAACATCTCAGGACTTCAGGCAACACACTAAGACTTTAAATTACAGTGAAGTTACTGACTTTTATTTGTGGAGGGAGTTTCCACTCTGAAAGTCCCCCCATCAGTGAAATTGTATGTCCATGTGGGAGAACCTTTTTCTCCATTTATTGACTAAGTCACTTAATGAGCAAGAGTGGTGAAAAGTGGGGACTGCCCATAGTCGATGTCAAAAATCAAATAATTACTTAGCTTTAGGATGGATCACCTATTTTAGGAAAACTTTCTAGATGAATGAAGATTGTTCTTGGATTGTTTCATTCATTCTTAGGGATGTGTCCACATATTTACTTTTTGTTGTTGTATGACCAGTTGGAGTACCAGCTACAATGCGGATACTTAATAAGTGACAAATTTATTCTTGTGATAGTTTTTGATAAATATAAATAGTATATCTTGTTATGATTGATTATAACAATGCGTTCATCAACAGGGCAATGTGGAATAGTGCAAAGAGATCTGGCCTTGAAGCAAGGGAGAGTTGGATTCAAGTCTTACTTCTGACACAAACTGAATGTGTTTCCTTGAACAAGTTAACCCCTCGAAGCCTAGGCAACATTTTAAAACTACAAATTGCACAGAAGGTGCACATCTGCATTGGTAGAGAGAGTTTCTCCTATGAGAGTTCCCTATAGCAATAAAATCATAGATCTGAATTTCTCCCTCCCCCCAAAAAAGATGTGAATTAAATGCAAAAACGTAGGCAGTTTTCTTTTTAGTGATACTTCTATGCTGAAGTCCATGGTACTTAAGGAACAACAATAATAATAACTGGCATTTATAGAAAACTTAAAAGTTTGTAAAGCACTTTACTTGTATTGTCTCATTGATCCCCAAAACATTTCTGTGAGGTAGGTGCTATTATTATCCCCATTTTACAGGTGGGAAAACTAAAAGTCCATTTACCCAGTATCACATATAGCTAGTTATATGTCTTAGATGGGATTTGCACTCAGGTCTTTCTGATGTTACATCTAGTATTCTATCAACTGTGCTACTTAGCTGCCTCAAAAATGGACAAATAAAAGACATATTCCAAAATTGGAATGTGTCCTTTTAAGATCTGCTTGGAAGTTGTACTAGATGCCTTACTGAAGTGTATGATTTTGCTTAACCTGAGCCTTAGTGCTATGTATGGATCCTGGTATAATCACATGTATTTAGTTGTCAAAATGATTCAATGATGGAAATTGTAATATCAGTTTCCACTTTAGTTTTGTGTTGAACTATGTTCTTGAGGCATCTGGGCCAAAACACTAGCCTCAGTTGGCTGTTACTTGGAAGGGCCCCAAGAATTCTTATAAAAGTTTAAAGCAACAAATTTCCATTTTCTAAAATTGCAACTTATGGATAAACTCAGATCAAGCTGGGGTTCATTCATTCAAAAACTATTCATTGACTGCCTGCTGTTTCTTTAGCACTGTGATAGGCCCTCAGTAGGTGTGTATGTATGATGGGGGTGGGGAATGAGAGACATAGACTTTACCCCCTAGGACCTTTAGCATAGTCATTGGGGGGAAATAAGTTAATTAACAGCACAAGGTATTATATGGCATCATGCAAACTAGGTTGTGTGGATAGGAGGTGTCACCTCTTGCCCTGACAAATACTAGGTACTGTGGAAAAGTAATCCCTGCCTTAAAGGAAAGGAAAGGGGATTAATATCAGGAGTTTAATAAGCTAAAACCAGAAGGCCAGGTTGGGGAAGAACAAAAGGGTTCTTGGCAGCACTGACATTAAATAGGTTAGTAATGCTGGGCCTGGAATCAGAAAGATGTGAGTTCAAATTTGGCCTCAGGAAAGTCCCTGATCCTGGGCAAATCACTTAGCCTCTGTTTGCCTCAGTTTTCTCATCTATAAAATGGGAATAATAATAGCACCTACCTTCCAGATTTGTTGTGAGGATCAAATGAGGTAATATTTGTAAAGTGCCCAGGGCAGTAGGCACTATGCAAATGTTAGCTATTATTTTTCAGTGGCTAAAATATTAATGGTGAATAAGCAGTAAGATTTTGGTCAGATGAATTGACCATTTGTCAGACTTGGATTATTTTCTTAAGACTTTTTTTTTTTTAAAAATAGAGGCTGCCTCCCTTTCTGCTCCTACCTTACATTTCACTATTTCTGGGTTGGGCTCATTGGTCTCCTTTCTGACTCAGCCATATCTTTAAGACTGTGGCATTGGGACTAAGATCTTTGAGAAATAGTGTGATGCAATGGATAGAATGCTCACCTTGGAATCAGGAAGGTCTGAGTCCAATAACTGCCTCTAACATTTATTAGCTATGTGTCTTGGACAATTCACTTTACCTCTGTGCCTTAGTTTCCTCCTCTGTAAAATAACAGGGATGAACTAGTTGGTGACTAAGTTTCCTTTTATTCCTAAGTCTGTGATTCTGTCACTCTCTCTGAGCTATAGCTTGTTTTTCCCTATCTTCAAAATGGGGCTAATGATACCTGTGGAACCTTTCTCTTAGGGTCTTTATGAGAATCAAATGAAATAATGTATGTAAAAACTTTGAAAACCTTAAAATATTATCTAAGTTGATCAGTGATGATGATGACGATGATGATGATGATGATGATGATGATGATTGGTGTTGAATGTTAATATGATCCCAGAAAACTTTATGGAAGAGACTTGAATCTTTCGTAGGATTAGGATTCAGACATGTGGAGAGAAGAGAAGAGAATTTCAGGGAGTGAGGAACATCTGGAACAAAAGTACAGAGGTGCATATGCGTATTTGGAGGACAGTAAATAGATCACTTCACTGAGGTTGTGGATTTGTTTTAGGAAAATGGAAACTGGAGTTGAAAATATAGGTTGGAGGGGCTCTTGAAGG